ATATTAGCGGGAAACTTGTAAGCAACTGACACATGAAACATAAGGTCTGACGGGTTTCAGAAGCCTGTAATTTGATCAGCTGGATGGTGAAATGGAAATCTGTGTAATGTAAAGGTGGACCCCTGGCGCTCTCGGTGGAGGGGCGCCCTGTAGCATCGTGACAAGGCTTTGCTGGCTCCTTGAAAGGTTTTCTTGCCTACGCTCGCCGTCGGCCCAGTTGCCCCAGTAGTTGATCACTAGCTATTGGCAGGGTCAACCGTGCGTTGCGCAGCTTTCAACTAGGGGATCGTATTCGAGTTTTTCGAGTCCGAGAGGGAGCCGTATTTGGGGTTGGTGAAGCTCAAAAGATTTAAAAAAGAGGGAGGAGGTCGTATTTTTGGAAGTTGGGCGAACTGTGGTAGCAGAAGAGGGAGTCGTTTAGCGGATTTTTATATTTACCCCATCCTATTTACCTCCCCCCTCTGCTGGGACCTCGGACGGCCGTTTTCGATGGAAGCATGGGCGAAGTTGGGCTGCGTTGAGTGGTCTCAATCTCAGAATCAAATACAAGAGGAACAGCCATGGTGATGAGAACGTTGGTCGGGGGATAGGGAAATGGGGTCGCATTGAGGAACGTCCTCAAGGCGGATTGTGATAGTGAGGTTGCCCATCCCCCTAAAGGAGGGGTCGCAAAATTTTTGGTATTTGGAACAACGGAAAGGTGAATCTAGCGGTTCGTAGCCTTTTTGGAAGAGAGAGGCCAATGCGATGACGGCAGCTATCCCACAATCCCCTTCCAACACGAAAATCGACAGGCGAAAAAGTGGTTTCCTTGCATGGATTTGAGGCCATTTCCTTTGTTTTTCTTCAACTATATACTGTTTGCGCCTTAATTCTCATTCCAAGAGGACGACCAAGTAATGGATATCTGCCATCAACTGAGCGCCAGCATTGAACTGCCCTTTGAAAATTAGCTTACAATAGCTTATTTTGCTTTCTAGACGAGGCCAAAGACATGTGTATAGGAAGAATCCTAACTGGGCAATGAGCAGTTTTCGAAACTGTCAAATTCTAACAACCTCTTACCTTCTTAACATCCTTAGCTTCTGAGCCATTTTTGGATGCCTCAACACTTCCCAGTGGGCTTGCAGAACGCCCCTTTGTCAAGGTGGGACGACTGGAAGCCGACGGTTCCAAACAGAATCCAGAAAATTTTTCTTTAGCCTGAGAAATTAGAATTAGAGAACTTCCACATGACAGTATTTTGAAATAAAAGAACCTTGTCGAACGCAGGATTTGATCGCCTCCTAGGGGTGTCTGGGGAAGTGCTCCCGGGAGATATTGATGATGGCGATGGGATTGATGCCGAAGACTGCGACGGCGACGGGGACGTCCTCCCAGATGTCGGACTCTTGCTTCTAAAACACATCTGTAAGTCAAAAGCGAACATCCGGATTCAGCTAACCCACCGGAAAGTCTCGGGTATGTTCACTTTGTTGAACGTGTAAGGGGTGGTAATAGAAGTCTTTGGAGATGGTGGGATTTCATTGATCGAAGGAGGCTGAGTTTTGGGCAGCGGTGGAGGGTAATCTGTCCTGAAAAAAAACCGTCAACGGTACAAGAAGGAGTAACTTTTAATGACTGTCAGGCAATTTCAGAACGGAATTTGAGGGGGAGGGGAGAGTATTTTTCGTTATAAAAAATCATTCGAGAGAAAGCTGCAAAATTAGCATGATCTGGGCTTGCCGTTCGCTTGAGCTATCACTTTATGGTTAATACTTACCTCACACGGATCTCTTCGCCTACAGACTTACGCGGTGTACGAGTCTTTGGTGGAGGTTCGGCAACTGCGACTGGTTCGCGGGGTATGGGACTTTGAGTTCTGGCACGTTCGATTGATGATGGCTCGTGCAGATTAGTAGTACTGCGGCTTCGCATTTCCGAATGCGCTCGTTCATTTCTATCCAACGGCACATTCACTAAAAATATTCACTTTGAAAAAACCCTTGAACTGTACCAGTAATACCGGTATTTGCGGTATGTCCATCTCCATTCGGACCTTTCGATTCATTGAGAACGAACTTCTTCCTTAAGTGTAGTTGGAAGGAGTGGAGGGGTGGGGGGGGGGGCGGCCGTGCATTGCTACTTCATCCCTTCAGCAGAATCCGATTTTTGTTAGAAAGAAACTCCGGGTTGGCCACCAGTGCACTTTCGCAAGAAAGGATCTAGTAGGTGAATAGAAAAAATGAAATCCCCCATCTACTGTTACACCCCAGCTAAAGTTCTCTCAGCGATTCCTATAGTATAGGGTGAATGCTCGTATGGTCTCTCCTTCATCCACTTCGTCCCACACTGGTCCTCCTAACCAGAGTCAACCGTCGCCTTCGCATTTTTCCACAAATTTGCGACCCCCTTCCGTCTTGTTGCGATCCCACCACCATCAGCTTCAGTAGGAGACCCCAAAACGACACCCTTGCTCGAGACCCCGAACACCATCCTCACCACGATCATGACTGTTTCTATATTTTAGTATTTAGTAAGGAGAGGTGGAGAGGGAGGAGAGGGGGAGAAGAGGGTAAATTGGTATAATGAAGGGCAAATCGACTAATTTTGGCCGCTTTAACCTACTTCCATGGAGCTTTTATGGAGTTTAAGGAGTCGAAAAACCCTTCAAAAACAACCCCACTTGCACTTTTCCCAGAGGGAGTAACCTTATCCGAACCCAGAATGCGACCCCTTTTACAAAATCCAAATGCGACCACCTCGTTCGAATAGTGCAGACAGACGATTCCTGCTCCCAACGTTTTACTACAGGTGGGAAACCTTCCACATGCCAAATGGTCTTCATTACCATCAAAGCTCAGTCTTTTGGCCGTTACGTGCGTACAGTGTTTTTTTCGTCGAATTTCCGAGATGATTCGTTACTATCCGAGCAATTGCAACAAGTTGGAAATCACTCGAACCTCTTAATGGTTGCCTGAGTCCTCCAGTTTCAACGGGAGCCCATTTCGACGGAGCTTTCGGCTTATTAATACCACCGGCATTATTGTTCACCTGAAACATCAAGGGATAGTGCACTATAAAAATTTTATCCAATAGGACTTGACCATTAGGCCGTGCGTGTGGTGAGCGGTTAGGTGCCACCACACCACTCCGGCACAAGCAATGTGGAGTATCTTGGATCAAAAACAAAAAGGCCTAATTTCATTCATTTATTTAGTTCCTAGTTAGTTTCATTTAGTTTTTTCTAATAGTTTCACAAGAATGCTGGGTTGTGACACTTTCGGCCCCAGACGGGACTCGAACCTTGCTTACCGGGCAAGTGCGCTATAAGTTACCCATTGTTGCACCATTTCATCCCAACTCAGCTCTTCATGGTCTACTTACCATAGCTTGTACTACACTATACCATGAAGAGCTGAGTTGGGATGAAATGGTGCCCCGGTAGCGTAACTGGTAGCGCACTTGCCCGGAAAGCGAGAGGTGCGGGTTCTAGTCCCGCCTGGGGCGAAAGTTTTGTTCACAACCCAGCATTCTTGTGAAACATTCGCAACGCGAACTGCGGCGTTAAAACAGCAGTTAACAAACTCGAAATTTTTAGTGGGTATAATATAATATAATTTTGATAGTTTAATAATGTTTTAATAGTATTTGTGTTACAGCCGCTTGAGCTGTACTCGAGTCTCATCAATAGCAGATGCTTCTTAAATGAAAAGTTCATTTTCTTCGAAAATTTCGCAAGTCTTTGCTCCGCCTGTTCATTTGTTTCAAGCGCCAGCTACTTGGGTTTTTAACGCCTTCTTTAACGAGCCCATAAACAAGAGCAAAACAACATTCGGACCTATAAACGCGTTGAATATCTAGCCTCTCCCTCAGTAAAAGAGGTCCACTGTTGTTTGCTGAGAGCTTAGCGTTAATAAACAAACATGTGCTGTTTTTTGTTGTTGTCGGGACAAACATCTCTACTTCACGCATATTGATTTTACGCAGTTGGAGGCTACTGTAAGAATAAACTTGAATCGAATCTGAAATTTTACACATCTGGTTACCCATTTCACACAGTTCAACTTCGCTTTCGCTAACGAATACAACATACTTCATTCCCCTGTCGTCCACTTTGCTGTTGCCTGTCACCACCTTCTGGCAGCTGCTACTTGCCAGTGTTGTCTGAATTTTCCGGTGGCCCTAGTCATCTTACATGACGATAATTTCCTACATTTTTGAAGGTGACAGGCTGACAGGAAGGTCATTCGCAATTTTCCAAGAAATTTGCGATACCATCAACCTCCCTCCTTTTAAGGGCTTTCAATGTAACCTCCCACTGCCTCAATCTTACAAGGGGGGATGGATAAGGCCAGTACGACTCTATCCTTACCGCCAGGTTGTTTCTATAGCATTCGATTCTGGAACCAGGACACAGCCCAATCTGCATACAGCAAATCCACCACTATTACCTATCCCAAGTACTTTCGTGAAACTTTCGCAATACCCACAGAAATACCGTTGTTGCAACCATGCCTAACCCTGTTCTCCACGACCACGACCCCTCTAGCTTCCAAAATACGACCCTCCCAGAGGTAGTTAACCTTCCTCAACCACAAGCGCGACCACCCTTCCTAAAATCACGAACGCGACCTCTCTTTCGAATAGAGCGAACGGACTGTTCACCCTGATTGACAGGTAGAGCACCTTGCAGCGGAACTGGTCCTACATTTGACATGCTTAACTAGTTCAGGGTGTGAGCGCTGAAATTTTCTGTCCTCAGAACACATAGGACACTAAGGCGCCCAGATGTGAATACGGTGAATTGACCTGTTTATTATGGATTCAACCTAATTTCAATATTTGTTTTCAAAATAAAAAGGGATAATTTCAATGAAAAGATTTACAAAAAAGTACTGTATTGATAACCATTTCTTGTGGCACGTCTTTGACAGCTCACGTCCGCTTTTAGCCAGCAATAGCAGTTTCCGTTTCATTTTTCTGCAAATCGCCATACTGAGGCACGCAAAACTAGCGATGGGTCATTGATAACCGGTTTGAGTGAGCGTGCAGCGCTGGTCGACTGGTTATCAGTGAGTCATTGCAATCGGTGGCTTTTCATTCGGACTTAAGACTTT